CCAAATCATTTGTAGCACAGTTCAGAAAAATAAATATGTTATCACATTTTCGTTATTGTTTCTAAGAAGTTCAGGTCTTTCAGGATGTACATTTAGAAGGGTGTCATGTAGTATTATTACATATCACTTGATTAAGCAGTATCACTTGTGGAAATACTATGCAGCAGTGTGCTGCTGGTGCTGATGATGTGACCTACAGATGTAGAAAAGATACAAAGATAATACAAAATATTGCTGAATGAGTGTTTAAAGAATACAGTCCAACTTTTCAAGTTTCTGTAATGAAGAGACATATCAACAGAATATATAAAAGCAAGAACAGCTTCACTGCAGATATCTGATATATTTGGATACTTACTTCCTCTCTGCAGTCCCTTCACCGTACAGATCCATCATGTCCATCCCCAAGAAAGCCTGGTTTTTCCTTTATGCAGGATTATCACTTAAATACCTACTACTGCCTCCTTGCATTTTCTGCCAGCACAGATCACTATGAAAGGATGAGCACCTGATCAATCTTAGTAAGAACCATCTGTGTGATGTGCTTTAGGTTGTGTATCCTTATTCACATTGGCCCTTCTGTTGGCTGAGTTCCTGCCACTGCACTTGCAATTCCCTGAGCATATAAAGCATCTGTGTACTGATATGGATACAACAGAACTTCCTTGGATGGTAAGACGGTTTATACGATTATCACAATCCACTAGGCATGAAACTAACCTTAGAAGGTGATGTGTCTTCACAGACCCTTCACACCTTCGTGCTTGATTTGCTTCCCCAGTATCCTACTACAAAAAGCAGCACATAGTGACCTGTGATGTGAGATTCTCTCATCCTGAGCAAGTCACCTGCCACATCTGCTTTTCAGAGCAGAGGTGTATGGGACACAAAAAGGAGTCAGACTCCCCTTAATATATGCAAGAACATGCTTACACTTAGAATTTTTGTTCACGGGGAAGAGTCCCTATCAGCAACATGCAAGTATTACTCAGCAGATGACACAGACAAGTTTAAGAAATTGAAGAAATGGTTCATTTGCACATCTCTTATTGAAGCTTACATCTGTGCTGTTATAACAATCAGTGTGAGCACAATAGCAGAAACACTGCAGAAAGCTGCTTTTCAGCTCAAGCAGACCTGAGAGGAGGGTCACCAAACAGAATTCATAGGACCTGGGAAAAGTTCAGAGTTAGGCCCCTCATGACCTTTACAGAAGGGTGAAATAGGGGCCAGTGCATTTATCTCTGCTGTAATCCCCTCTGACTCTGAGCACCAGAGAGATATGGCTTTAGCAGAACTTTCAATGGGCCTTGCAAGTACTTCTACCAACACAGCCTTCCTAGGCAGTGGGGAGTAGGGACAGGACACAAATGCTGCTCAGCACACAGCTAAAAGCTTCCAGGACTAAACCAGGAAAAGTCTTGCAGGGTCACAAGCCCACTAGGCACCTACCCACATCAGCCAAAATAAACAGGAGGGACCACAAGCTCTAGTCTGAAAAAAAATCAAATGCAAACAAGACAGCTTGAAAGCTGTATCTAGCATCAAAGTATGTCTTGGCTTGACACCCATCAAGGCTGTTAATACAAAAGGTCAGTGAATTTAGTTATTCATAGGAATGAATACCTATGAATTACCTCCAACAAAACATCAACAACTATCTTTCATGTTTAAATATCCTCGTACAGTGTTCTACATAACATGCTGTGTATCACCATTCAAGTTTAAATTGGGCTATTACAATCAGCCTGCGTAAAAAGTACACACTGAAAGACAAGAATTTCCTGAAGAGAGTTTCTGTAACAGTACTAGATGTATAACTCAGGGATATTTGCTCCTGTCATATTTCACACAATAACATGAAGACTTCTGAAAAAAGTAACCCTGTTTGTGTAGTGATGGAAGATTAGGACTCTCCTCCACTCTACCAGTACTTCAATCCAATAGTGAACTGCTTAATTTGATATGAGAATAGCTTTCCTTCCTTAATTTCTAGTTGTACGTCAATATAGCTTTATATTCCTTTTAATATGCGTGCTCAGTGATAACATTTCTAGGGATGCACTAACCACTGATATCCTGTGCCAATTCCATCCAGAGGAAGAGTGAGAAGAAAGAGGAAAAAAAAAAAAAATGAAGGAAGAACCTAATAATGCAGTAAATGAATACAATTTCTCCATTATCACTTCCAACCAGGTATCCCTATCTGAGCAGCTCGAGCTCAATTTGCTTAAAAATACTTAATTATACTACTAAATGATTCCTTGAGGTCATTGCTATGAAGGACACACAGTTACTGTGTTAATCCATGCATTATATACTGCATTACACTAGCCCAGTAAGTCTGAGGAACAAGGACAGGTTTCTTTAGGTTATTGAAAATTGGAAGGAAGCTAGTTCTGTTTCAAAGCAGTTAGTTACACAGGACAACTAGGAAAAAAAAAAACACACACACACACACACAGGATAACACATTGCCTCCCCCCCTTGCAAGCAGCAAGATGACTGAGACACCTATAGCAAGGAGCCCATTTTCAAGCTTTAGTTACGTAAAATAACAGCTAGCCCCAACTCTTAGAAATAATCAAAAAAAGCCCAAGAAAAACAACAACCACACAATTTCACAGATTTCACAGATTTCACAGAATTGTACAGATTTCACAGAATTGCCTGAAAAACTAACATTTAGATAGGATGTGGAATATAGAAACAAAGTGTTGCGTTTTGTTCATTGCAGCAGTTTTCAACCAAGCAAGAATACACCACAGTGAAAGCAACAGCCAAAACATGAAAGGAACTTTCTACAAAAATAGCGATTAGAATTCAGGCACTCTACAGAACAGGCTCTCACTTTAGTTAATTTTCCATATCCCTACAAAGTATAGTCATTTGATATAATATTTATGTTTAACAGAGAATATACTTTTATGAAGTATAATTTACATTAAAAACAACTTTTTTTTGTTTGTTTGTTTTTTGAGCAGAGAAGTTTTTCTATACTTTTTTAAACAAACCTCTTCCACAGGAATAGTCACGTGCCAGCAAGTTGAAACTTACACAAAGAACTAGTCCAATAATTTTTACCATGAAATAGTTCAGATACATCAGCTTTATCTGGTCATTCACAAAGATGTTACTTTAACAGCAGGATAACTAAAGTACCCCAGTTATCTTGCACTATAACTCAAGTTAACACAGGACACACCGAATGCTTTTTGAAAGGCAGATAAGGTTGAGTTTCACCCCCTCCATTTTCCTTCAATGAATTTCAAGTGACTTCACCTAATTTCATGTTGCCAACCAGCTTAACAGGCAAAGAAAAAGCTGTATGCACAAGGAAAATGGAAAAAGCAATTTATTCATGACTTGACATCAGGAAGACATCCAGCCACTTCCTGGCATGCCTTTGGGCAGCTTTGTGTCAGCTCTTCTGGCCATCCTCCCACTTGCTGGGGTGGATAAAGGCAGGGAAGAAAACAAAGGCTTGACATTGTGCAAGCACTGCTCTGTAGTAGCCAAAGCAGTGATATGATATAAACACCATTTTAGCCTCAAATCCAAAACACAGTACTACACGGCTGCTATGAAGAAAGTGAACACCATCCCAGCCACATCCAGTACAGTAAGACAGCTAGCTTCACATGCCCAATTCGTTCTCAACCGTAAAAAAAGTAGGAAGTATACCAAAGCCATTTCCTTCACTACAAAAAAAAACTGAAGCAGACTACTGGGAAGTGGAATAATACAAAACCACTGTGGAGAAAACAGTATAACATCATAGCATTTGCCGTTTAGTTTTTTCAGTGTTTACAGACATAACTATTTATCTGAAATGCACTCTATTTTCTTTCATAAACATCATACTTATCCTGAACAAAGACTGAATTAAAACAGTTAGATTTATATAATCTTATAGACTATGCTCACTCTATACATTTAAACTGTGTTTTGTGAGGCATAGTCAGAAAAAGACAGGTAAGCTTAGAGGGAGTTTCCTAAGTTTTTAACAACACTGAGAATCACCTTGAAGGCAAATGGCATGAGCAATTAGTGTTGCATGAATTTTAATACTCTCCTAATACTCCAAGAAATGATTGTCTTTCGAAGACAGATTTCAGAAAAAGTTCAATTAAACTTGGACCAATTCCAGGGTTCAGAATAGCTTTATAAAAATGCAGAATAATACCTAAGCTAAGACCTATTATTTCAACGCCTGTGAGTTCTAACATTTTCTCTTAATTCATTTTAAGCTTTAATTTACCATGAACATCCATGAGTTATTTATATTTACAGGGTACATATTGTACTCACAGGCATGAAAAACATAATTTGTCTCATCTAATGAGTCATAATTAACTTTTGTTTTTACCTTTCCAAAAGCAGAATATTTTTAACTTATTCAACTGGAGTTATTTTTATGCCAAGATTTATATAGTTCTTTTTAATAAGAGCAGTCATATGTCAGACTCTCATTATTACTTCAACTTGTTTTCAGATAAAGCAGAAATGAAAGAGCCCACATAAAGGAAATACTGCATGAAGGGAAAAGTATTCCTCTAAACCAACTAAATAAGACCAAGAGTTCTAGATTTTTAAAATTTAATTAAATGCTTATGAAACTTTTGGAAAGGTATAGTTTCTTCCCTCAAGAACTTTAGTAATGCTCTAAGTAACCTGGAAACTCAAAGAACAAAAAATTTTTCTCCATCATAAGAGAAGACAATTCCCTATTAAAGCAAATAACCCCAGTCCTCCTTTCAAAAAGCTTGCAGCATATACTATGAGGTCTGAAAACATATTCGTGCACAAAGATAGCCTTGGCAGAAAACTTTCTGTTAACCACAACAAAGGTGCCACTTCAAGACTGACTTTATAAAATTGAGATCCTACTTAAGGGACTGTGAGAAGAGGCAATGGCAGATATAGATGCTTTAAGCCAGTTTTAGGTCACCTAAAAAAGGCAGAGGCCGCAATCCAATAATAAAGAAGGAATCACTTACCCCTTTCCAAGGATCAGGGCTCACCAAATACGCCAGCAAAATCAACCTTGGAGTACAGATGATTCCCTTGCACCTGCCAGCCCTTAAATGAGGTTAGGATGGACCCAGTATCCTCCCCTCCTTGTCGCACAGGTGAATTACTTCCACCTACGCTCCCAGTGCTGGCTGCATCCCTTCACCAGGTGCTCAATGACTGTTTTTTTATGTGACCTAACAGTTCCCATACATGGACTAAGTAAGAAAATATGTAAAACTGATTTGGCTTTTTAAGCAGTTGACCTAGAACTGCAAGAGTTAGGAAACATTAGTCAATGAAGAAACTTTTAAACACTACATTTTTAAATTAATCAAAATCAAATTATGGAGGAGGACAATCACAGACCTCTATGTGTCTGGAACAGAATAGCTACATTTTATTAGGTTGAAGGAAAGGTTTCCGTTCATTCAGATAACTCTCCCTTTTCACTACTTAATTAATAAAGTTATTCCTGCACATGAGAATCAAGGCTTTTAAATGAATAGGAACTTTATTTGTTTATCCATTGATGTGCAGTTGAAAATAACTTGGAGTCATGAAAAAAAATGAGGCAACTACAACTTATTCAGCTGCTTAAATCATCTTCATTTGAAAGCAGAATTGTGATTGACATAGTGATACAGAAAGTATCACCTTACATTACATTCAAGTACCACACAACAATTTACCTACTGTTTTCTTACTGTTTATATAGCTGGTCTCCCATTTTCAGAGGTTTAGCTACAACACATTCCTGTCTTTCAGAAAACTTGGTTAACAAACTCTTTACTAAATCGAATATAACGTGCAAGACAAATTTCATAGGAGAAAAACAGAAAGGTCAAACGGATTTTTCACTATAGTCTGTTTTTCAGGAATACCGACCAACTTGATAAAACTACTCCATTCCTTATCTTCAAAATAAACTTCAGGACAACAAGGCTTGAGTTTGTCAAAGGAGGAGGAAAAATAAATTTAAAAAAGAAAAAGGAAATTTAAAGTTACTGCTCTGAGAATATACCAGCCAAGTGGACACGTTCCTGTCATCACCTGAGTTAAAGAAGACCTTTAATTATTTGCTACAAAGAGCCAGTTAGCACGAAGGATGCAAGATAGAGGTAGGGTCCTTAAGCATCAGCCTGCATCTCTAAGTGACAAAAAACTTATTGAGTTCTCATTAACTGCTAGAGAGACCATAGTAAAACTTCTGAAGCCAAAACTACCAAGAAGGACCAGCATTCTTCCAGATCATAGGGAAGTAGAAAGACTCTCTTCGAAGGAATACAGATTCTTATCAGTCTTCCACCCTATGAGAGGTTATCTTTAAAGGTAGTTCCTCCGCAATGCCTACATCTCTGTGGAAAGCTATTTGCCCTCAGATGAATGACCATAGACACTTAATTTATTTCTGTGACAGAGATAAGCTAACAAATTTGATAGAAGAGTGCTGATTAGAGCTGTACTCTCAAGGGAAAATTTCTAGCATCTTAAAATAGGCAGGAGAACATCCACTAAGAGAATCATAATGGTTGGAAATGGTCGGAAAAGACCTCAAAAATAATCCAGTCCACATCGACATGGTTCTTGAACACCTCCAGGGATGGTAACTTCACCACCTTCCTGGGCAGCCTGTTCCAGTGAACATCACTCTTTCTGAGAAGAAATTTTTCCTAATGTCCAACCAGAACTTCTGGTGGTGCAACTTAAGACCATTCCCATTAATCCTATTGCTGTTTCCTGGGAGAAGAGGCCAACCTTCACCTCGACACAACCTCCTTTCAAGTCATTTGAGAGAGCAATAAAGTCTCCCAAATCTCTTCCAGATTAAACAGTCACAGTTTCCTCAGCCACTCCTTCTAAAACTTGTGCTCCAGATCCCTCACCAGCTTCGTTGCCCTTCTCTGAACACACTCCAGGGCCTCAATGTCTTTCTTGTAGTGAGGGGCCCAAAATTGAACACAGTACTTGAGGAGCAGCCTCACCAGGGCTGAGTACAGGGGGACGATTACTTCCCTGCTCCTGATGGCTGTGCTATTTCACATACAAGCCAGGATGCCATTAGCCTTCTTGGACCCCTGGGCACACTGCTGGCTCGTGTTTAGCTGAACATTGACCAACATCTCCAGATACTTCTGTGCAGCTTTCCAGTCACTCTGCCCCAAGCCTGTAGTGTTGCCCGGGGTTACTGCAACGAAAGTGCAGGACTTGGTCTTGTTGAACTTCATCTCACTGGCCTCAGCCCAGCTACCCAGCCTGTCCTGATCCCTCTGTACAGACTTTTGACACTCAAGCAGATCAACACTTCCTCACTGCTTTTTGTCATCTGCAAACCTACTGAGGGTACACTCAATCCTCTCATCCAGATCATCAGTAAAGATATTAAAGGGGACCAGCACCAGTACAGATTCCTGAGGAACACCGCTCATGACTGGTTGCCAGCTGGATTTTACTCCATTAACCACAATTTCCTGAGCTCAGCCATCCAGCTTGTTGTTTAACTCAGGAGGAGGACACCTGTGGAAGCCATGGCCTGCCAGCTTCTCCATGAGAATACTATGGGATACAGAGTCAAAGGCTTTACTAAAGTCTAGGTAGATATATCCTCCTCCAACAGGCAGGTCAACTGCTCATGGAAGGATATCAGGCTGGTCAAGCAACATGTGTTTCATTAACCCATGTTGACTGGGCCTGATCACCTGGTCGTCTTGCACATGGCATGCGATCACACTCATGAATTTTTGCTTCATAACCTTTCCCAATACTGACAGACCTGCAGTTACTCCCTCCAACTCTTCTTGTAGATGAGTATTACATTAGCAAATTTCCAGTCATCTGGGACCTCCCTGGTTGACCAGGACAGCAGATAAATGATGGAAATCAGGTTAGTAATCATTTCTGCTAGCACCCTCAGCAATCTTGGGTGGATCTTGTTCCATGGACTTATGACAGTCCAGGTGAAGTAGCATGTCACTAACTGGTTCCTCTGGAATTAGGAGGGAGGGGGGTTATTCCTTTCTCATATATTGGGGGGTGGAATGTACACAAGAACTCCAAAAATTTCCTAATTATTATGCTTCTCATATTTACATGCTTACCTTGCAAATCTTGTAGTTTGCTTTTATTAGTCTATTACTGCAGAAGAGTAATACGTGTGTGTCAAACAATCCACCATTCTCCCTAGATCGTTTCTGACCAAGACAAGTTACTGATTCCAAGACAGTATTTGATATTGGTCTATCCAGTGTTAAGACTACCACACAATCTTTTCACAGTACAAGCAATGAAACCATATATGCATTTATTTTATTCTCCTCAGTTTATTTGCATGTAATTTTACAGTTTTTTCCTTCATGTCACACATTTATTCTTTCTCTTACAAAAAGTTTTGACAAGGGGATTTGCCTTCCATTACTTTTGGAAACCTGGAGCTGGTATCAATAAAAACAATAAAGCAAAACCCCACCTACTGAACACCTACTAAATAAAATAATGTAAATGTAGCATACATATTAGAAGTTCCTCATCATTTCAATACAAGGAAAACAATTTGGAAAAGAAAAAAAGATAATCAGTTCCAGTTGCTAGAATAGTTCAGTGTATTCTCTTTCAAAGACTTTATTTCAAAGTTTCAGTATAGAAATGCTTTTATTAGCTCACTACCAAGCAGTGATCAAACTGGTATAGCAGAAAATGAAGCATGATAGTAGACAATATTGCAGTACTCCACCACAATACAGAATTCCCTGTCACAATGAATATAGCAGACTAGGGATGTTCATAAAATCCCTTCATTGTAAACACTACCAAAAGACTGTTTTCCATCATGCTGCAAAATTCCATCATGTACCTTATTTAGCTTAAGAAGTAAGCTATATAGAAGTACAAGTAAGCATTTCAAGAACAGTGAACAGACTTTCAGTGCTGGCACAATTTTTCAGTAATTTACAAATGGTTTATGTGGGAAGCTGGGTAAAAAACAAGAAACAAAGAAAAAAGAACTTTCTGAAATGGTTACAGGCATCTTCCTTTTTGGCTAATTTAAAGTCACAAAATTCAGACTTGTATAAAAGAGACATTTCCTTCATACTCCATTCTAATATGCCTCTGAACAAGTGAAACAAAATAAAATCCATTTCATTAATTTGGTATTAATTTTTCACAGTATTCCTCAATACATTTTCAAATATAAAGAATCTTAATCCTTACAAAAAGAAAAGTTATATTTATTAAAGAATTCTCTTGAATAATCTTAGCAGCATTCTAATAATTAACTATCTTGATTTTATCGGAAAAAAAAAAAAAAACAACAAAAAACAAAAAAGCTTGATTATTGTAGTTTGAGACAGCTTTTTCCCAAAACATAAACATTTTAGAAGTTACAAAAGTGCAAGAAGCAGCTCACATTCCAAGCTGAAAGGCAGCTTCTGGAAATGGTGGAATCAGTATTACAAAGTCCTAACATCACTGAAATTAAAGCATTAAGATGAATTATGTATTTAAAACATTCTCCAGTGTAACATTCTTAGTGAAGACCTTAGCAGTGTAAATAAAACAGTTAAGTATCTTTTTTTTTTTTTTTTCTTTCAGCTGTAGCAAGTGAAGTGCACAGACCAAGTGATTTGATGGAGAGCAAGTAAGCAACCTAGTGGCATCAGCACATTGGCAGTGAGTTGTGTGCCCACTTGGTTCTTAAGCACTTTTTAGCAATTTTAATCAAATTAAAAAATGGCAGAGTACAACACTCTTAAGGATCTTCTCATTAATTTGGGTAAATGTCTTAAACTGCATGTTAGAACTCATTGCAGAAGAGGAGCCTTCAATTAGGTTCCACAAATCATTAAGGCTGCCTTTCAGCCAAAAACTTTTGTTTCCTTTAAGCAAACCGCTATTAATAAGCAGCATTTACATATAATGAGCATTTTAATTCACTTTTTGAAAAAGAAGATTTCAAGAACTTACAAACACTGGAGCAGGATCACTTTTGGTAAGAATGTTATTCCTCATAAAATTCTGTAAACAACATTTTAATTGAGAATACCTGCTGTTTTGAAGTATTGTTAGTGAAAATTTTTATTACCAAAAAGATAACATTCTTCTTTCTCTTCCTTAACATTTCTTCAAAATAGTTTCTAACAAGCACAGACCTCTGCATTTGCATGTGAATATTAATCTTGCATTTTAAAAATGTTAATATTACTAGATTCAGCTTCAGAAAGATTCAATAGAGCTAGTTTTGTTACACTTAGTAGTACAGTGTATCAGCACTTCTATCACTTGCTTCTTCAGTGATAGGTACAGAGATCTTCAATGTGGGACATCCGTATTCTGAAGCACAATAGCCACTCTGCTTGGAATGTACACCTAGTAAAAAAATGGTAAGAACAAGGAAAAATCCATGAACATCACAGGATTCATTTTCTAAAAAACAAACAAACAAACCAGTATATGAAACAACATATGTAATACTTAGCCATTCAGTATTTCTCATTTTTGTGATCTTGTAGGTTATTCTAATTGTATTTTAAATGACTGGCTGCTTAGTTCCAGTACTTGAGTTATACAAGATAATATAAAAGTTTAAAAGACATCTTAATTGCAATCTCTCCTCTTTTCTCTTTTTATAAATATTGCTTTGAAAGATTTAAAATGGCTACCAGTAGAGGGCCTCATATGACTTTCAAAGTCCAATTTATAATATTTGAGGACATCTAGGTCAATAGACTATACAATGATAAATGAGAAAGTTTTACAGCAGCATTTGAACACTCCTCTGCTGTGAAGTAAAGTGGCCTCAAGGCATATGATATCATTTCATACAGGTAAGTAACAGCATTATGACACAGCATTGCATTCTTCTCTATCTTGCCATCTATGGAATTTCAGTGCCAGTTGCTAAAAATCACTCTAAAAACTAGATAGAGATTCATATTAACCATTACACTATTGTATTTTGCTTTACCCTTTTTTATCTGATTACCACGAGAAAGATATGCATATAATCAAAAGACTTCTCATAGATCACAAAAGAGCTTGTGGCAATATATTTTACATGACATTCCTTCTGAGCAAAGTAGAATCACAATCTGAAAACGAGACTGATATGCAGTACCTACCAATTACCTTGATATATGGTACTCCATCAATTGTCAAGTGTATGAATGTGTTTGCTGAACAAGTCAATAAAAATGCAATTATAAAAGGTAACACAAGATTGAAGATTATCGGCTTCATTCTGACAACATCCTCCTGTAGACTACTCTCCATCCCTGTGGAATATCTAATATCCCACAATTTCAACTATGTTATCTGCAAACTAGAGCTTGATGGCATGAAAGGCTTTCATAGCTTTCAAAATAGAATGAAGGAACAGAGCAAAGAGCTTTAAGAAAAGGAGAAAAAAGAAAAGAACAGCTGATCTTCATTGAATCAGACAGAGCCATGTCCAATGCTTCTTGAAAGGCAGTGAACATAATGATTTCCCCTAAGGTTTCAGTGATAAATAGCTCCACTGTTCAGGGGAGGAAATACTTAATGAACTAGCTCAAAATGTATAGATAATGCCAAGATTTTTAAATTGTGTATTGAGGAATTTAGCACTCTGAATTGATATGATGAAAATGGAAAGGAGCTAAAGGGAATAATTTTTCTAAGAAAATATTCATAAGAAGTTACTTTGGTTAAGGCAACAAAGATTGACATTAATAGAGGATATATCAGTTCCGCTATAGCCAAGTAAATAATATATCACATCTTAGGAGAAATGTATCTCAGCTCCCATAAAGCCAACTTGCACCAAGTGAGAATCTAAGAGCACTGTGGAAGCACTCCACCAGTACAATGTCAATCAAAATTTTAGAACTGGTTTTAGGTGCAATTTTAGAATTTGAGTAATATATTATATTTAGATTGATAAGAATTTTCTGCTTGTTTTTCTGCTTGTCAGGAAGAGATTCAATTGCAAGCTTATTACTTTAGTCACGCATTTCTTTCCATACCTTGGAAAATTAAACATAGGTTCTAGTGTTTATTGACTTGGTGGTCTTTTTACTAAAACAGAAAAATCAGCTATGACATTACTTCCTAATCTGATCAACTTATGTCATTTATCAGTGTAACTACCTCCAAGGCCTACATAAAACTACCAGAAATAACAAAACCCCTAGGGCATAAGCAAGGAATACTCTCAATTGTACGTTAAATATTCATTCCACTGGTAGGAATACAATTTTTTAAAAATAGCAATATTACACAAGCATTAGATAATTCCTGTTACGTTGTTTAAAAAGAATTCAGAACATCTGGGTGAAAGAAATGTTAGAAAAAATGTGACCAAAAAGGTTGGAAAGATTGCCCATCCTTCATGAGGTGAGATCGGGAAGATTATTCACCCAGAATCCAGCAAAACTTTCAGCCTTCCCAGTCCAGATTTCTAACTTTTTACTCTTCCCACTTCTGGCACTCAAACTCCAAAAGCTTCCCCAGACTCTTCTTTTGTCACATTTAACTACCACTTGTGTAAAAACACATCCCCACATATTTCAGTTTATTTTCTCTATTATTTTCCTGATTTCCTCCTAGTCATATACGCTCCTCTGTCCAGACTAAGAGCCATCATACTTGTAATTAATGAACTCCTTTGGCAGCCTGGCAGTAGTGATGTACTGGTTAGATTACACACCACCTGTGTTTTGAAGAAAAAAACCCAAAAAATTAAAAAACAACAACAACAACAAGAAGAAAAAACCCTGAAGCCAAATTTTTAGAGTGGCCTTTAAAAATTCTGAAATTACATCTCATCTGTTGCAACTAGTAAATCCAGAAACAACAAGAGCAACAAACAGTAGGTATTCAATCTTCTCCAAGCAATTTTTAATCATATTGAAAACATGTGACCAGCATAAAGCTGTGTTACAGGAAGATATGCCCTCTCAGAAATTGATTATACTAAATTTATTACACTAAACCCCCAACATCAAGAGATAAAATTTAAGGTGGCTTTAATTGAAGCTGCATCTGTATGAACTGCTCCCTTGCACTTCAAGTTGACCAGACTAGTCAATACTGTTTTATCGAGCTAACATGCTTTTGTTTGAACATGCGCTTCAAGGGGTGTGAACTCATCTAGGATGGTCACAATCAGCATATTATAAATTTATTTTTGACTAGATGCAAATCCTTTAGGCACCTGATTATTTGATACAGTATTCCCTTCTGTTTGCACTACTGCAATGCAATACTCTTGAGCATATAGTTATTGTTGTTTAGAAAATAGGTTAGTAGAGAAGGCAGCTATTAAAACATAGAACAACATGAAAATACAATATGACCTCAATTCACATACTATCTTCCAACACTTAATATGTTTATGTCTTCAGATTGTTCAATGGTTTACTGGAATAAATCACAATATTTTCTGAATTTACTGGAAAATCTTGACTGCTTTGTCAAAACTATAAAATTACTCAGAATATGATTTGGATCTCTCCTTTGAAGAAGGGAAGTGGAAGAGAAAATTCCAAATGAAGTATTATTTCTGTTTTGAAAGACTCATTCATGAAGGGTAAGAATTTTAAACATACAATCAAGTTAGTCTATCTTTCACACCTACCTCCAAGTGGATTACAGCATCCTGCCTAATTAATAGCTTATAAAAGTTCTTGAACCTTAAATAATTCTATAAAGTCAGGATGTAAATTAAAAAAAAACATAAGAAGTATGGTAGAAATAGTGATATATGTGAATTAAAAAAAAAAAAAAAAATCAGTGCATTGGAAAAGCTGACAAGAAACTTAAATTATCTGTATTATTGGTCTCTTAGTAATTTACTACAACCCTGCTCCCTCTTGAACTTGTAATTCATATAATTCAATAATATTTAATAGGAGATAGCATTTTGCATATTTTCTGCCCATGCTAGAATTTGCCATCAAGTGGTACAGTTAAAAAATAAAAAATAAAAAAAAAAGAAAGAAATCCATTACTGACAGTATAAATTGAAATGCAAGCATCTGATTGTATTTAAGTCTAGATATATTTTAACATATAAAGAATAGATAAATCCTACCTAAAAGCAAATAAAAGCATGCCTTAATTAGAGACAATATATACATTTTAATTTCTCTATCCAATTTAGATTAAGAACTGTTTGCTTACTGTGTTTTAATCCATTGTTCTGATCATATCAAAACACATACATATAGTATTCAATATTGTAGAAAAATAAATTTGCAATAGCATACAATAAAAGGCCATCATCCCCAGACACACACATCCATGCTTCTCCTGTACTACTCAATTCTATCTTCTTTAAATACTGAAAAAAATGGCAACCTTCGTTCTTTCTGTATTTCCTAGGTAAGCCATTATGCATATTTTTTTATTTTGTTCAGTTGTTTTTAAGACAGTCCAAATTATATTAAAGTATTTTAACAACTACTCCAACACACTGAAATCATTAATGAAGATGAATTCTGGCATTTTATGGTATGTGTCTGTGACAAACTCCAATCAGTTCAATCTGATATCCAGCTTAACCACCAGTTCTTATGAGGTCTCCTTCTCAGCATACTGGCTTTCTAATCTTTACTAGTACATGCAAGTCTTCTCCTGATTTTTTCCTCATTGATTTTTCTATTGGCTAAATCCTCAGATTTATTAAGACACATCTGGATTGGACCTCTAACATTCAATTTATCCATGGCTGACCCTAATTCAGTGTCATCTACAAATCTGCTGGAGATGTGCTTTGTTACTGCTAAAGACTGCATCAAACAGCATCAGCCCTGGCAGTAATTGCTACAGCAGTCTACTTCATATCAGTCAATACCTGGACACTGAACCTCCGACTACTAAAAGTGCAGCAGCCCAACCAGATTTCAATGTGCGTAACAATCTTCCCTTCCAGCTTGTTCTTCCACTTGTAGGAGACAAAGCTTGAACATCACAATATTAATTGTAGTTACCTCATGCACGTAGCTAGATATTTCATCAGAGAAAGCAACCAGGTTATCAGATATGTTTTGTATTTACTAAATCTGAGTTGTCTTTCTGATCAACTCATATCTATCCCCTTCCAAGGGGATATGGTCCATGATCTCCCAAAAGACTGAGCAGGTAAGGCTCACAGACCTCCAGATCCCTCAGGTTTCTTTTGTTGCTTTTACTACAACTTTTCTTCAGTTTCTAAAAATTTCCCCTGGACACTATGATTTTTTACAGATGATTTCAGCCTTGCAACCATGCCAATGAAATCTTTCCTAATCTTTGGATATATCCCATTTATCCAGCTTCTTTAAGGTGTCCCTAACCTATTGCTCTGCTACTGCTACATTCTTTTTGATAGTGTATTGGTACAAAAAGAG